ACCCCCCTAGTAGTACGGGTGACCGGCTACTATTACCCCCCCACACCCTTTTCCCCCGATTTTGTTTCCTGGGGCCTTTACCCCGCCTTATGTTTCTGGTTGATCATCGGCTCACTGCCAGGGTACTAGCGTCACAGCACGTCATAGTCGATTGCGTAATTTGAGCGCTTGCGAATGCAAGGTCTCCCTGTTCCTTGAATATGCTTATGTATCGCACGTCATTCTAGTACCTGTGAATTGACGATTGTAATGCAGAACCAAAGCAATGATGCACTGAGAACCGATATCTTTGTTATGTTTGATATGTGAAAATTTCAATAAACATATGGATACAGAAAGAGGACCTGTCTGCAATTAGAAGAACGACTGGTGAACACACACAAACATTAACATTCAGCGCTTTTCAGCGAAGTAATGGCCCTGATCACCGAGCTGCTGCTCCTTTATTGTCTATTCACATGCTGAGAGCAGGTTGGTAGCCAAGCTGTGTTGTTGGAGTATAGAAAACAGCTTGGCCACCTGGCTGTGCTATCTGGCAGAAGTGTCTGGATCATCATATTAGTATTCCAGAGATTGTCCTGTATTCGAAGACCGCATTGTAGTAGCTAGAAATCCCCTAGAATACATAACTCCATCCATTTTTTGGATAGGGCGGGGTCAGGACAGAGTCTGTCTGGTCTTTATTGCGGTCTGTTAGATTCCACCTCACTTCCTGTCTTAGTCATAGGTGTCAGACAGGACAGGAAGTGAGGGGGAAATCTCTCTGATTGGGGACACAGGCAGGCATGGGGGGTTAGAACTCGCATCAGATTTTTATTCCCCGTCCTGTGTTTTCAGGTGGAGGCCGAGAGAAGGAAGAGAGCCATGGTGTTGGAATCTGAAGGGACCAGGGAGTCCGCCATTAACGTGGCCGAGGGTGAGAAACAATCGCAGATCCTGGCGTCCGAGGCCGAGAGAGCCGAGCAAATCAACAGGGCGGCAGGTGAGTCCCCGCTGTGTCCTCATTTCAGTGTATACAACCAATGGCTGTAGAGACGAGGCCGGCCCGGGCACGTCCTCCCAGCCAGATACCCCAGTCATAGGATAATGACGACTGTGCTTACTGGAGGTCTAGAGGAGCAGAGCGGAGAAGGATCGAATTGTGAAACAATACAATACCTCATAGTCAGGGGCGTAACCACAGATCATGGGGCCCCATGGCAAAATTTTGATTGGGTCCCCCAGCAACCTCCCTACTGTCAATGATATTAAAGTCAGGTAGCGGGAGAGCTGCCTGCATAGTCTCCCCCCCCCTTTTCTTGATTAATAGTGTCAGCAGTTCTTATTGGGGCCCCCTTCCACCCCCAGGACCCGTAGCGGCGGCATGGGCTGCTTTGGCTATTGTTACACCACTGCTCATAGTTACATGTTGGTGGACCTGAAAGGGAACTATTGCAGGGAAGGTTTAATACGACGATCTCATGGGACCAGATGGTTAGTCCGGGTAGATGTTTACAGCCAGTCATTTTTGTTCCCCCAGCAATCCCTCCTCCATAGACACACGTGTGCACCTTTTGTCCCATGTACAGATACATGCTTGATTGATATCACCCATCTATGTCAGTGCCTTTTACCTATTCAGTCTGCTTTATAGAAAGATTGGCATAAGTTGTACTCGGAGGGACACGCACACGCACGTGAAGGGAAGGACGGAGGTCAGATAGAAGAGTGAAGGGGAGGACGGAGGTCAGATAGAAGAGTGAAGGGGAGGACGGAGGTCAGATAGAAGAGTGAAGGGGAGGACGGAGGTCAGATAGAAGAGTGAAGGGGAGGACGGAGGTCAGATAGAAGAGTGAAGGGGAGGACGGAGGTCAGATAGAAGAGTGAAGGGGAGGACGGAGGTCAGATAGAAGAGTGATGGGGAGGACGGAGGTCAGATAGAAGACTGATGGGGAGGACGGAGGTCAGATAGAAGACTGATGGGGAGGACGGAGGTCAGATAGAAGACTGATGGGGAGGACGGAGGTCAGATGGAAGACTGAAGGGAGGCCGGAGTTCCTCTTCTATGCTGTGCCGTTATATGAATCTTGTGTCTTGCCAACAGGTGAAGCCAACGCCATCCTGGCAAAAGCCAAAGCCCGGGGAGAGGCCATTCGGCTGGTAGGGGAGGCTCTCAAGCAACAGGTAAGGGATGATCACCATTGTCCTCACTGTGCAGTAAACCTACATATGGGGGGTGACATAAAAGTGGACTGTGCCTTTAATTGCATATAGAGAGTAGATGCATCCCCAGGAATCGTCCTCAGGGCTTCAATGGGCCAATCTGTCATCCCTTCAGATGTGCATCCTCTTCCCTGCTGACCACTGGGTGCTGCAGACTTTAGCTGTGCACTCTGCTGATCAGTGGCTTCCAGAGCAGAACGCACAGCTCATGTTTCGGGTTTGCTGAACCTTTTAACCTTTTTTTTTGTTTGTTTTATTGTCTCTCTCCAGCACGGGGACGCAGCCGCTTCTCTGGTCATAGCCGAGCAGTATGTAAACGCCTTCTCCAAGCTGGCGAAAGAGTCCAACACGATCCTCCTGCCCACGAACACCGGTGACATCAGCGCCATGGTGTCCCAGGTCAGTGACTTTCCTCTCCACCAATAGGAGACGAGATTTCACCTCCAGTCAGTGCCGCTCGCAGCAATCTTCTCTCTTCTCTTCCATTCAGGCCATGGGAATATACAGCACGCTGACCAAAGCCTTACCTCGGAAGAGCCTCGCCGCTCCTCCCCCCGGCGTGACAGACGGACACAGGTCAGGCACAGAAGATCTGACGCAGAACTAATCGCCCCCCCCATCAATGCACTTAGCTCCGCCCCCTCAGAGGCCCCCCGGGATTTTTTTTTATTGTGAATTATGTCAAATATGTTTATATCTATAAAAAGATTTCAAAGAAACTAACTTTGTATTGTGACCGCTCCCTGCTGCTCTCTCCTTGTGCAGGGTGACTGGTCTTGTCTCCGCCCCCCCCCGGTAATAAAGACCGGTCACTGCTGCTCTCTCTCCTTGTGCAGGGTGACTGGTCTTGTCTCCGCCCCCTGCTGTAATAAAGACCGCTCACTGCTGCTCTCTCTCCTTGTACAGGGTGACTGGTCTTGTCTCCGCCCCCTGCTGTAATAAAGACCGCTCACTGCTGCTCTCTCTCCTTGTGCAGGGTGACTGGTCTTGTCTCCGCCCCCTCCTGTAATAAAGACCGCTCCCTGCTCCTCTCTCTCCTTGTGCAGGGTGACTGGTCTTGTCTCCGCCCCCTCCTGTAATAAAGACCGCTCCCTGCTCCTCTCTCTCCTTGTACAGGGTGACTGGTCTTGTGCATTAAATGCACTGTGACACGATTGCTGGTGTGAATGACCCCCTAACTCATGCTGTTCTTCCTGTCTGTGTGTTGACTGTCAGCACATGTGCACTACAGCAGTTTTTTATTGGCTCCTGGTGCTGCCCCACCCCTCGCATTGCTGAACCAGGAAATGTTTTGTGTTGCTGTAGATCAATATCTACAGTCTGGGGCCCGAGCTGCTGAACCTATAAAGACTATGGCAGTAGTTGAATGATGCGGGTGAAGCTTGACATGGAGGGGGAGGAGCTTAATCTCATATGGAGAAGCCCTGGACTCAGGATCCTGGACCGCGGAATTGATTTAAAGACAGGTGTGGGTACTTGTCTGTGCTTTAATATAGTTATATAGCAGGGCTAGGCACTCCGGCTGTGCTGAAACTACACATCCCATCATGCTTCTGTCTCTGGGCGTCATGTCTTTGGCTGTCGGAGTCTTGCAATGCCTCATGGGACTTGCAGTTCCATTGCAGCTGGAGTGCTGAGGTTGCCCACCCCTGGTATATGGTTTTGGTAGTCATGACAGGTTCACTTTAACTGTGAAATAAATGATACTGCTATTCGGTGTGAGGGAAATTGGGAACAAATCGGAAGGGAACCACGACCTGAACATTCTGAAATACCAGAGGGGGATCCCCCCCCCCCAAAAAAAAGCAACTGCTGTACCACGTTGCGGTCCTTGCGGAGTCCCAGTCCTGCATGGTATGCGCACACATTCTCTGGTGGAACGTCCTGAAATGAACTCTGCGGGACTCTCACTGCATGACGTCACCCAATGAAAAGGCTTTTCTCATTTTAAAGAGGAGGAGCCCCAACTACCTCTTAGCTATATACCAAGCATAGGCAACCTCGGCACTCCAGCTGTTGACGAACTACAAGTCCCATAAGGCATTGCGAGACTGACAGCCACAGGCACGACCCCCAGAAGTAGAAGCTTGATAGGATTTGTAGTTTTAGCACAGCTGGAGTGCCGAGATTGCCTTACCCCTGGTCTATAGACCAGCCTTTCCCAACCCGGGGTGCCATGACACCCTGGGGGGGCCTTTCTGGCTTTGTCAAAGGTGCCTTAAAATGTTTGCACAGTGTGATGCATTTCCATGTGTCTAGACCTGCCCACCATGGTGGCAATTATAAGGTGGGGCCAGGGACATCCCCAGGCGTGGCCACCGGGTGTCACACTCAGGAAGTCATCATGCATGCCGTAATGATGTCACGTGCACAAAATTGCCGGTGGCCAAAAGACAAGAGGGGACGTTCATCCGGTAGGATAAGGTGCGCCGCAGGGTCCCCTCCTCCCTCATTCAGCTGTCAGGCTCTCCGTCCATTGACCGAGTGCCCGACCTTTCAGAGGGGGGGTGACACCAAATGACTGTCAGTCATTTGGGTGTCACAGACTGAGTATGTGAAGAGGGGGCTCTTGATGTAAAGGGGGAACTCTGATATGATTTTTTATTTTGCTTGTGGTCTCCTTAAAATCTATACCAGACCCCGATCTAGGATAAGGGTCTTGTATAGAATTTGGGAGGAACTGCAATATTACAATATGTTGAGACTGGGGTCACCTCGAGATTCTGCATACCTTTTTATAGTGTGCCGCAACTGAAGAAAGGTTGAGAAACGCTGCTGTAGACTGCTACATGTTCCTTGTCATTTGTAGAGTAGACGTGTCCATGCCTCTGAGCTCCACCAGGGGGCAGTGCGGCTACACAGAAATCACACGCAGTGCAGCATAGGAGGAGGAGGGGACCGGGGCTGACTTGTACAGTTAAAGGAGAACTATGGGGGTCAGTGTTTTTCCCCATAGTTCTCCTTAGGGTAACGGGAGGACACAAACTAGCATCCTCCCGTCACCCTAAGCTCAGTATACCGCGAGCCACAGCTCCCTATATACTGAGACGCTGGAGCGGATCCCGACATCGATGTGAACCTGTCACGCTAACAAGAAGCACGCTGACAGGTAGACATGTGCACTGGCAAAACATTCGTTTCGTTTAAATTCGGATTTTGTGTTATTTCGTTTTTCGGGATTTGGGTGTGAAAGTCGATTCGGAATTCGGATTTTGTTTCTTATTCGTTTCGTTCATTCGTTAGTTTGTTGCAGCAAAGTGACATTTGAGGGGGAAAAAATGTTTTTCTCCTTCTCGAATGACACTTTGCTGCAGCGAATGAACGAAAGGAATAAGAAACGAACGTTCGAACGAACTACCGCTAACGGATTTCTGAAACGGAAATTCGGATTCGTTTGCATTCGTTATATCTGGAATTCGGGACGAAACGGATTGCACATGTCTACTGACAGGAGCAGGGAGCAGTGCGACAGAAAGAGGCGCTCATCACTGTGCTGCTTCTTCTTTCAGTGTCCAGTTACAGGCTGGGGGCTTGTCCGGGATGACCTGGGCTCAGGGGAAGTGGGTTGAATGATGCTGGCCATCAGACTGAGGACATCTATTGGCAGACAAAAGGTAACACGGGGGAAATATCTGGGTTAAAGGTGATTAATTCAGCAAGGGCCGCGTTTGTAAGTTGAGACACAAGCTTAAGGGACGATATTCCTTCAATTCCTGTCCCAGGGACCAAAAAAAAAAAGTGAAATCCGCTCTGGTGATAACAAGAACACGCGTCCCCTTTGGAAGATTTCCACTCTGTTCCTGTTTCTGTGACAACCATCAAGTTTTGGGTTCCTTCTCAATGACAGTAGTCATGGTGAGTACATTTGTGGCTGGAGTTGTGGTTGAAGTGGATTTTCCATCCCTGTAATTAATTTGGTTGTCCCCTCTATATAAAACGCCTACTTCCTGCCTATGATGTGGTCCTCGAAAACTGGGCCCCGTCTTCTCTATTTGGCCCTATAAGTGCCGCATACACAGGGCTAGTGGTTGGAATGAAAGAGCCACCAGCCCCCCCCCTCCCTCGCAGCAAGCTGAGCCTTCTGGATGGGTTCATCCCATTGCGCCTGGGGGTGGGGGGCGGACCAATGCACATGCTGCAGACAGGCAGTGTTCCGCCTCCAGGGTAGATGTAAGGGAAGTACCAGTGTACAAATGGTTCTGGGTGAGCAGGTCAGGAGACCCCCAGAGTTCACAGGCTAGTAGAATAATCTGCCAAGAGTTTGTGCTGAGGGCAGTCGTCCCACGCCCTACAAGCGACTTGGGAGATCATCCTACGCCTTACACGCGACTCGGGAGGTCATCCTACACCCTACACGCAACAAGGGAGGTCATCCTACGCCCTACACGCAACAAGGGAGGTCATCCTACGCCCTACACGCGGCTCGGGAGGTCATCCTACGCCCTACAAGCGACTTGGGAGATCATCCTACGCCTTACACGCGGCTCGGGAGGTCATCCTACGCCTTACACGCGACTCGGGAGGTCATCCTACGCCCTACACGCAACGCGGGAGGTCATCCTGCACGCGACTCGGGAGGTCATCCTACGCCGTGCACGCGACTCGGGAGGTCATCCTACGCCGTGCACGCGAATCGGGAGGTCATCCTATGCCGTACACGCGACGAGGGCGGTCGTCCCAGCAGTAGGCTGCATTAGTGTTCTCCTTTATTTCACCCTGCTGATCCTGCCAATAACACACTTCCTGTCCTAGGCTGACAACGCCCACTCACTGCACTTTATCTACGCAGGAAGTGTAACCAGTTTAGTTGCGCTAGGATAAGTGTAAAATCACCAGCTGCAACAAATGCTCACATTATCTACGCAGGAGCAGTGTTGTCACCCTACCATATGACTACAGAACACCTCCCATTTTCCTCACCTCCCTAACAGAGGAGGTGTTTTGTAGTTTACAGAGAGGGGCGCTGATAATACTGTTTATGAATCGAGTTTCATGAACAGGAAGTTACAAAGGAAGCTGGATTTCTGGCAGGATCACCGAGTGAAAGGAAAAGGGGGGGGGGG